AGAACGTCTGGGACGGCCTCAGAAGACTCTCCCAGACCCATGAACCGTTCGGGATGCCGAACAAACCTCCCACTACGACGAGGTACTACCTGCTCAGGTGCATCATCAGCGATACGTGTTGCGGTACTTTGTGGTGTACCATCTATTGCACTTGGTATTGAAGTACTCACTCCCTTTAAATCCTCAAGAACATATCTACTACTGGGCTTATGATCTAAGACATAGTCTTCTTCCAAGAACCTAGCATTCGTGCTAACGATGACTTTCTGGTCCTTGGGACTATAAAATAGACCACCTTTCGTTTCCTTAGGATATCCCACAAACAGCCTTACTTCTAATCTCGGTTCCAACTTATCAGTATCGGTTCTCAGCACATTTGCTGGACTACCCCAAATCCTGAGATGCCTTAGACTAGGCTTATGCCCAGACCACAACTCTAATGGTGTAGACGATACTGATTTAGAAGGTACTCTATTCAAAATGTATACTGCTGTTTCTATGGCATATCCCCAAAATGAATCTGGTATACCACTATAACTCATCATTGCCCTAACCATTTCCATAAGAGTCCTGTTCCTCCGTTCTGCTACGCTATTCTGCTGAGGCGTGCTAGGCGCAGTCAGCTGGGACGTAATCCCATTATCCGTCAAGTAGCTCCTAAATTCATTCAAGAGATATTCGCCACCACGATCTGATCGTAATGACTTGATACTTTTTCCTAACTGCTTCTCCACAACTGCCTTATACTCCAAGAACTTCTCAAAGCATTCAGACTTGCGGTGCAGAAGGAAAATGTACCTATATCTCGAGTAATCATTGATAAACGTAACGAAGTACTCGAAACCACCTCTCGCTTGAATAATCATAGGACCACATAGATCGGAATGAACTAGCCCTAACACGTCTTCGGCTCTATGCCCCTTTGAATTAAAAACCCTCTTAGTCATTTTACCTTCCAAGCAAGACTCACAAGTTGGAAATGCCTCGACTTCTAACGACCCCAAGGGCCCGTCTGCTACCAACCTTTGAATCCTCCTAAGGTTAATATGACCAAGTCTTAGATGCCAAAGATATGTTTCGTTCATTTTAGATGGTTCCTTTTTCTTATTCAGATTAGATGATGAATTAAGTAATTGTTTCTGTTGCAGTGGAGATGACATAGATTCTAGAATGTATAGATTGTCAACTAATGAACCAGAACGTATGAACTTTTTGCCAAAACGAATAACAACTTTATTATCAAACGTAGCGGAAAAACCGTTCATAATCAACTTAGAAAAACTGAAATCAAATTCTTTCAAAAATTGGGAACGTAAAGACAATCTTTCAAAACTAGAAACATATCTAAGCCAAAATCTAAATAGACGTCTCCCACTGCAATTGCTGACGCTCTACTAGCATCGCCCAAGTAGATGGTAACTTCTCCTTCCCTAAGTCGCTTGGTTTCCTAAAACCCCTGCAATGAATAGCAGACATGATCAGTGGCCCCTGTATCTACACACTAGGTACTGGTAGATAACACCGCTAAACATGTTTCAACGACTAAAGCAAAAGGAGTACCTTTTTCGGGTTTCCTAGAAAGAGGGCAGTTTGCCTTCCAGTGTCCATTCTGCTGACAATTGTAGCACTTGCCTTTTGGCTTCTTCGCTTTTTGTCGAGGTTGCGCGTCACTCATGACCGCCTTGCCCTTTCCTGCGGACTTCTTCCTCTTCTTGACCTTAGGAGCCTTAAGAAGTGGAAGCTTCTTCCCGCTGGGCCACCATAGCTTAGGTCTTCTGACGAAACAGGTCCTCTGTCGAATGAAGTTCAGCAACAAGTTCCGGAAGAGTCATCAACATCTTATTCATGTTGTAATTCAACCGAAATTGTTCGAAGCTCTTCGGCAAAGACTGGAGCACTATATCGACCTGGGTTTCCCCATCAATAAAAGCCCCAAGAACCTCCACTCATTCAGCTGGGCTATCATAGCAAGAACATTTTCCCTTACAGGAGTGCCCTCGTGCATGGTCATGTTCATCAGAACTCTCATGGCCTCTTGTCGGGCAGCCCGTGGCTGATGACCAAATAACTCCTTGAGATTGAGGAGCATGTCCGCTGCAGTGTTCATAGACTGATGTTGATGTTGAAGTACATTTGACAAAGATGCCAAGATGTAACAATTCGCCATCTCGTCAGCCTTTTTCCACCGAGCATACTCCTCTTTCTCTTGGTCTGGTGCATTGTCAGCAGGCACAGCCGGACAAGCCTCAAAAGTAGCAAATTTGTACCCTTCAGCAGTTAAAACTATATCCAAGTTCCTTTTCCAGTCAATATAATTGGGACCAACAAGTTTGTTTTCTTTGAGAATTACGGACAACGGATTGAAAGACATTTTGAATTCCTGGGATCATGCAAACATAGTCTCTACTCAGTCAAGTAGTTTTGAATTTATACATCAAATATTGATCCCATTTAAAAATATTCAAATAAATTCACCAACACCTTAAAACACCGAATCCTCGTAGGCCACTGAGTGTGGACGTCTACGGTTCAAACATTCGCAAGAGGAGGGATATATTTCATTAGCTTAACATACTGCCGAGCAATACTTAACTAATAGTAGGTTTCATCATTTGGCCAGCGCAATTAACTTTATAAACGAATAAAAACGACCTTGTCCTTTGGGACTATCATAATTATTTGCACTTTAAGCGTAACCCATTAATTGATACTAAGTTTACTACCAAAATTATACGTCCACCTTTGGGTGACCCGTACGCTTTTGAAATAGCTCACTATAACCATCCCGAAGGAGATTCGTCCTTGTGAACTGTGAAATAAAACGTCCTTTGGGCTCGAATTAAATCACTTCACTGACAAACCTATAATGGAGGCCTTGGATGTAATTTATTTCAACCCATAACACACTTAATATAATTTTTATTTTATAGGATTTTCTAAGACATGTTTGCATTTGCACAAAAGCAATTACGTAAAACATGCATGATTAATGAGCAATAATAAACTAGGAACTATAATCCAACTATCATGGCCATTAATCGATCTCCAATGTTACGGAGAAAACACAGTCCTGTCCTTGTTAAGTATGTCCTCCGTTTTAGGTATTGGAACTCCCCTTTCGCAGTGACTCCCACTGAATTGGTTGTCTCCGGGAAAGTCGCCATTGGATCATCACCATGACATCCGTGTCCGTGTTTATTGCCTTGCCCCGTCAAGGTTGGTCCACGCCCGCCGGATCAATAACGAATAATATAAACAACAATTACATAATTCATCCTATGACCCACGCAGAAGCCGTACATGAGTTTCTATGAAAGCAATAAACTATGCGGTGTCCCACCGCGCGAATAATTTATTATAAGCATTCATCAACCCAAAAATTCCTTGACATGTTCAAGGCTTTAAAAACAGCATACATTCAACATGAATTAAAATCCGTACATACGGG